GTGTGCCTTGGCAGTCTCTGATAGATGTTAAGGACTAACGTTTATAATAAATACATTTGTATTGATTTTAAGATATTTTCATAGTTCATACAATCTTTGGGATCATTTGTATTAATGTGGACCGGAGGGAGAGGGTGACGAGCATAAATTTCACTTTCCTTTTTTATTTCAATTACAACTTTGGTCATGAAGAATATGTTTCTCTGTTGTTCATAAAGCAAAGCAACAGCATCAGAGCACGGTGCAGAGTCTCTAAATGAGTCCGTCGTTCTTATTAAACAACATGTAGTCCGCTGTATAGAACACTGTAGTTTCCATAGTTTCCCCACAGCAGCAGACGCACATTTATGACGTCCGCTGGCGCATCATAAACACGTCGGATAGTGAAAGTGCAGACGGATTCTCTAAAGTACCGCAGTCTCTTCTCCTAAGTCCTTTTGAATTCTCCTATCCACTATCCCTTAACCCCGTGACGTTTCACTCAGATGTCAAGGGATAGACGATGGGGTAGACGTTAGGAGTTGATTTTTGGACTATTCGACTGAAACCTTGGCGTCTGATAGGGTGTTACAATACTACAAAACTAAAAGGGAAATTTCCTATCTTGAATTATTAAAGTATAAATAATCATCTGAGGTATTAAACTGCTCTTGGATACCTTTTATCCACCTATGAATCCATCTGATGTTATGCAGTTATAATATCATTGGTAGTGTGTTTGGGTTGGTTTCTAGCATTCATCAGGAAGCAATATAATTATTACATGTGTAGTTTCTAGGAAAAAAAACCTTCTGTAAATCATTATCTGGTAAGTGCCCAATATTGATAATGTAGATGAGTGTGACGTGGCTGTGTAAGACCACTGAGGGGTGTGACTTTTGAGGACATTTCCAAATGAGTGTGTCTCTACGTCTTTCCGAGGGCCTCAGTGGGCCCGCCCAACACCCCCTGCAGCAGATAAATCGTTATCACTCACACACAAGACTTCCCCTTTAACTCACGAGGCTGTTTACAAGAATCCCAGCCAATGAGAACGCCTTGTTAACACAGGTTAAGTAGGGTTGGTGCAATATAAGTTGACACAGGGCTTTCCATTGAATACACAATTATACGTAATAATAGTAATTAGGAGCTTTGCTGGAAAGTCTTGACATACAGTATACAAGCTTTTTAAAGAGTTGTATCTATTAAGTAAATGCCAGCCTATCTGTGAGTATACATTTGTGGCATTTACATAACATTTAGAATATTGTTTTTATTAGTGGATTTTGTGCTCTTTTATTAACTTTATAAAAAAAGAAATGTAATTACTTATCATAATAACTAAACATTTATTCAGATATGTCTACTTAAGCAATAGCTCACGACAAATTTAAATAGTTTTTATTAGTAAATAATGATGTTCAAAATAAAATAGTCCCTCCGTTGCCTTCTGCACAAAACATACTGCGAGTGCTGTTCAAATTCTCAACTCATGATTCATTTAGTTTGACAAGTGGCACAGCTCTTAAACTGCAGCCCTCGCCTTGCATTCTGAATTCCCACGAGTTAACCAGTTTTACGACAGCGGGATATCTGAGTTTAAATATTTACCCAGCACTTGATACATATCATCCCTCTCTTCTCTTTAAACTGCATCCTCTTACTGGAATTTTACACACATAATCAATGAGGTTGTAAAACGGGAGATATTTGATATGGAAGTCTTCCTTAAAAGGAGCTTTGTGTGATCTGTAGCTCACCCCAAGGGGAAAGCTCAGCGGACTCACCCTGCGCTTTGAACAGGATTACAATCTTAACTGAGACCAGCCGCTTGAAAATGACTGTGGCGGGGTTGAGGCTCAAACACAGATTTGATTACATCTTTCCAGGTAGTCAGGAGTGCTTTAGTGCATAGTTATTGAGTGACAAAAGGCCCCAGTTATCCCTGTCAACCTTCAAGATTTGTGTATCCAGCAACATAAAGCAGCAATGGAGCAGCACATGTTAAACCCCGCGAGACCATGCAGGTTTGTTTATCTCATTAGCTGAGGGGTTGATACAGAGTGAGGCAACACCTAACATGACTGGTTGTTACCAGGGAAAAGTGTCCGCCTGCCATTATCACCGGTGACTTTGTTTTCATAGAAATACATGGAGGCATATCATCGCGGCCCTTATCAACATACACAGCAGCCTGCAGCTTCTGTCACGTATTCACCATTTGATATGACAAGTACAATTTTTAACAGAAAAAAAAGGTATTTCTTTAAACAAGTGTTTGAAGTCGTGCAGCCTGCATTACCTTTTTCACAGATTAAATTCATGAAGCCGCATCTTACTCTGTTTTTGTCATTTTGCTCTAAAGTGAAAAAGGCAGCTCCTGCATTACTCCTAATATGTGTATTAGAGTAATTGAAGACAAGATTTCTATTTGTATTGGAAAAGCACTGCTGTGCGTTACGAGCAGAGGAGGTTTTTTAGCACAGTTTATCCATGATTAAGGACACTCAAATTAAGCTAACAGAGTGGAATATTTTATTTCAAATAATGAAGAGACGGGTTTAAACCAAGAATGCATATTTCTTTACACAGCAGCCAGGCACGGGAGAGCATGGAGCAATATGAATATTACAACTCATGCTCAGGAAACACGCGTGCCAGCTCTGCTGTGACATCAGACTTAGGAACTAACTAGTGAGAGGAAGTAAATTGTCACATTTTATAAAAAAAAACAATAATGTGGACGAACATTATGGCTTTTATGGCCATCAAATGCACAACAACATATCATATGAAAAGCAGAAAGTGATGGCACAGGGATAAAAAAAATCACCTAGGCTGATCCGATCAGATTTATCTTTAAAAGCAACAGCTGATGGGTCACAACAAGCAGTGAAAATACATTTTATAAACCAATAACATTACACAAAGGGAAGAGTGATGGAGGAGGAGGATGTCATTTCCAGGATAAACAGAATGATTCTG